AACCCCCCCCCCCCCCTTCAGCTGATGATGATGAACATCACCCCCCCTCTCTGTAAATCACACCCTGGCGCCCCTAAACTCAACATTGCTGCTGTGTGATGGTGTAAACGAACCAATGGCAACAGCGCACGAGCCTACTGCAGGTATGCTTTTCCACGAACAAGCTATCCCATATCCCAACCTCGTAATTGCTAGTGCGTCACTCTGTGCAGAGAAACCACCGAAGACCAAATCGGTATGGAACGCACCCATGACGTGTAGTATGCACACAGGTCTACCGTCGGTGACATATGATTCCTCACTCCCCGGCTGTATCGGTTTTTAAAGCTCGAGTATTCCGCGACGAAGTGATGCGCAAACCCAGCGAGACGTCTTCGGAAAGCTTTCGACAAGACGGTTCTCACACCACCAATTCGGCACCGCCACCAAGCTTGGGCAGCTGGTTCAGGGCGTGGTATGTTGTGTCACCTACAATATACTGCTGGATGAGCGCAAATCCCAACGGCCTCGTTCGTTCCAGAGGAGGAAAGAGTCCTTTCATATGTTGTTGTTGTTGAACGCTCGGGTTTGAAATTCAATGATCGGCTGCATTCGGCACCGCAAAAAGCATCGCAGATAGACTAATACTACTGCAGCAAAGTATTGAGTCGGCTACCCCGCGGGTCATTACCCCGCCCTGTCTAGTACCTTTGCCCACCGCCAACGACAATGGATTCACAGGGATTCTATCAATGTCTATTGCTACCGACAATGGATTGACGGGGATATTATCGTTGTCTTTTGCCAACAACAATGGATTGGAGGAGTTTGTATCCGTGTTCATTGCCAACCACAACGGGTTCAAGGGCGATCTAATAATGTCCACTGTCGGCGGCAATGACTTCATGAGATTTCTATCGATGTCCATTGTCCAAGCAAAGGCAGTCCGAATCTCTAATCGATGGCAATGCGTTGTATCGACAGACATTGCCGGGTGTTGTGTATTATGATAGTATGTGTTGTTTTCGTCCTATTTTATTGTGGCGATCGTCCCCCCATTTTTCGTGGTGAGACGTGTTCTACACTTTTCCAGTGAATTTTTTGGTACAACTACAACCATCCAGTTTCACACAGGTGGAGATATACGCCGGGGCTTTTTTCTTCTTTTTATCTTATTTTTTTGTGCCCCATCTGCCCCCCGCGGTGGGCGCTGATACCGTAAGGTTGCTTTTGTTTTGCAAAAAAAGACTGTTTAGAGGGATCGCGTGTGGGTGTATGCGCGCAATGACCATGGGGGGGG